CAACAGCTTGAGCACTGCCCTTTTTCTCCAGTAGAGTTTGGCTCGGTACCACATGGTTCATCAGCTTCAAGTCTTGGATGCGTAAGGCTGACAACGCACTTTACTTGGACGAACTATTCAGTCAAACCTCTCGAAACAGCTATTGTTGACATGGTGGTGTCACGCAAGTGTATGGACATTTGCACAGAATTGGTTTCCAAGCAAGCTGAGTTGATTGCAAGTCCCTTGGTGCACATTGATGCCATCAATGTATCAGCTGCCGGTGGTAAGCCTTCACTACACTGACCAGCCGTTCTACCAGATTCAACCTCAAACATGACACGCTTTTTTAAATCTAGAATCTAGTCGGATTGCCAGCCCAACTTGTGCGTGGAAGCAAATTGTCCATGGCTTTTCCCAGCGATTTGCAGCAGCTCAGATTAGATGGGTAGCAATCATAGGTATCGGGAGGGCTCACATGGTGCAAAAGCAATGGCTCTACCATGTTTTGCAGGTTTCTTCGTTTTTGGGCCTCTTCGTTTGGCCTGGTCTCCAAAAGCGTTTGATCTTGGTCCCCCATAGTTGTGTAGTCGTTGTCAAGGTCCTAACATATTGTTGTCTTCCCGTAGCTTGCCCAGCCTAGCACACGACTCATTGTCGACTAATCGTGCCTTTTCAGCTAACCCCAGCTAACCCAGCCGACGTCTCGCCAACTTCACAACGTCTTGTGTAGTCTTCTCATGGGCAGCAAGCTCCCCTCCCCATCGGCTTCCCGAAATCTTTGAATATTCCCAGAGTCTCATAGAACTACAGTCGTCTTACCTAGACTTGCTCCGATTTTCGCACAAGACTTGCTTTAGGTTAGTCGTTACTTAAGGTACGTGAAGGTTAGCCTAAAAGTGAGTCAATGTTTGCTGAACAGCTGGTTAGGCGAGGTTAGCCAAAAGCAAGATAAGGTTAGGTGGCTAGCGGAACAATCAGTTTTGGCCGAATATCAATAGTCAAGGTTGGCCGAAAAGCTGAGCCAGAAAATGAACGCCAAGGCTATGGATGGTCTAACGCAAGCCAAAGGCTTGCCAGAGGTAGTAGGGTTTGCCGAAGACTTGGTCAAGGTTATAATTATAAATGTGGTCCTTGGGTAGAGTTAGCCAAACAGTTAGCCAGCCTCAGCCCAAGACGTAGTTTAGCCGCACAGAGAAGCCGGCAACTTAAGTAACTTAGCTACGCTTAGCCGCACAGTTAGTCATTTTTAGCCGAACACCTATTTTGAATGTTGGCCGACGAGTCTGTTGGCCAACAAGTTGGGGAAGATTAGCAGGACAGCCAGTTGCTAGTAGGTCAGGTTAGTTGCTTGTTCAGTCCATTGTGCCAGTGACCACCCGTCACCTCCTGAACATTCTCCGACCATGAACACCGTTGCCTCTTTGCCTTGGCTTGGGTCGAGCGAAGGCCGCGGCAGACATTTTGCATATCATACATACAGATAGTTCGACCCGTTCGACTCGCGGGTTAATCTTTGGTTGGGAAATCACTAGACCTTAAACAGGTTGCAATCGCTTGCACCAAAGCCTAATTTCTAACATCCTGGCACGCGATCGCTTGCACCAAGGCAAATTTGTAGCATCCTGGCACCCATTCAGGGTTGGTTTGAAAGGACACCAAAAGGGAAAACCACCATTTGCGGGGGCCCCCCTATTTTGACACACCCACTTCAAGCGGACCAGCCATCCGGAAGTTGTTTGTGCAGGTGTTATGCCCGATGCGCTGTGAGAGCTCCAAGGCTGCGCGCGGGATCGCTTGCGATGGGTTCCCAACATGGCTTATTTTCCTCTAACTAACCCCACAAAAGCGTGCCCACAAAAAGATGCTAGACACACCATGTCACAACGAGTACGGAGCGTTGAGGAAGCCACAGGTGTGAAACATAGACACTGCAAAAGCTTTATCCTTATGAGTTCTAGCCAATTCAGGGCAACTGTCCAAGGGCCCGGCGGATGGCCAAAACTGGTTCTCATTGAGATCAGACATCCCAAGGGGGAAAAAAAACAAGGCAGAATTTGGGGAGCTCACTTCTTGGCGCCTTTTTTTTTGTAAGTCCCAAAAGCTGCATTTTGGACAGCGCTCTGAAAATGGCTCCCTCGGTGGCTGGCGCTTTCTGGGATGTCTCACCCGGCAATGTTGAGATTCAGGTAGCGCTTTCTTGGTTTGGACTTTTGGGTCTTGAAATCCCTTGGTTTGGACTGGTGTAGGGGTTCTTAGGTAGATGGGAAGAAAGGGCTCCAAAGCCCCGAGCTCCAATTCGAGGGAAGCTGACAGGTGCCACCTGGTTTGGCCACACTCTCGTCGCTGCCCTGAAGGCGGCGTCGTGTTACATGGCGTTGCCGAAAGGCCCCTGCGGCACTTTGGAAACAAATGGCTTTTCCAAATCAAACCTATGGCAATTGACTTCTTTTGCTAGGTATTGCTTTGTGTCAAGCGATTTTTCAAGCTTCCATAAGGTTTGGTTTTGGAGACCTGAGTTGAGTCATGACGTTGTCAAATTGTCCGACCCTTTGAGCCGCTTGTCCCAAATGAATTTGCTTTCGAAAATGGGAGCTCCCTGTTCACACACAGATGTGCTTGGCTTCACCTTTTGCTACGTGATGCCAAGCTCGAGTGCTTGGATGTTTGGCCTAAAGCCGGCAGGGTGCCGTATCTAGCTGAGGGACTGAACTTAGCATTTTCACCGACGCAACTTCTCTTATCCAGCACTCCAGGTTCCATTGCTGCCTCTTTTGTTTCATGATGCTACCATGGCTGCGTCCAAGCCGCGCAGCATTTTGCTGTGCTGTCTCACGAATTATCACCTACTCATGTGCCTGATGTTGGTAAGAAAAGTCCAAGTGGGTTTGCCTCTAAATAGGGAACACACAAATTTGTGACTTTCCATTGGCTACCGTCAGAATGAGACACACCCAAGTGAAGCCCCGGGCCAATTTGACAGGAAGCGGAAACTCCGCCGCTGAGTCACCGCGCCGAGCGCGTTTGGGCGGCCGAGAAGTGTCTGTTTGTGCCACTTGCGACCCAGACCATTTGCTGCAAGCAGCGCCACTTGAGCAGGGGAAAAGTGACGAGATGCAAGCTGATCCGAAGGTAGTGATCCGAGGGTATGTGCTTCATCCATTTTCCCCCAACAGCCGAACGTTATGACACCTCGATTAATTTCAATTCAGCGTATTCCGATTCTCTTGTGGATGCCTGCCTTCATGATGTTAAATCGTTTATTGTAATTCTCTGTATTTGGCCTCTTCGCAGCAGCTGGCCGTGTCGCGTTTTGGTCGGGAGCCGCCTTAGGCGGCTGCGCTGCTTCAACTCAACTATTTAACGTCACAACTCCAAGGAGTGCGTCTTGGGCGTCGAATGCGTCAGTTTGAAGACTCCCCGATCCATGGAAACCTTTGCCAGTTGCCGCCTTGGACAGTGGGTTCATGTCGGCCTGAGGGTTCCAAAGGCCTCGAAACCAGGGAATCAGCTTTCGAGATGTGATCCCCCGGCCACCAAGATTCTGACTTTTTGGGTGCGTGCCAAAACAGGAATTTGGACCCCCCCAATTGTAGTACCTTTTCTTTGAATTCCTTTTAAAGCACAAACCCAGATCACTATGAGAATGCAGCCTGATCGGGCACTTTCAGTAAGTTATACGCCGCATCATGGGGGCCATCAGCGACCGGTGACGTGTGCTCGAACGTTTGTGACATCCGATTCCGTGGATCTAGGGCGCTTCGCACTTGCCCAATGCCCTGCAGATCTTGCATACGGCAGATCTCAAGCAAAGAACTGCCTACCGAAACCTTGCATGCTTCTCATTTCTCGTGAGGCCTGTTGTGGAGTTCATCTGCGTCTTCAAAAGTCTTGGAGTTTCTGTGGGCTGTTCTTGCTGGATCCACAGCGGCTTGCGTTTGGCAAGCTCTTCCTGCCGAGAGCGGTACAGGAAGCGCCGGATTTGCCCTCGTTCGCGACCTGTTTGCCACTAGTTTATGACAGGAACATGAAGGAATTCTCACAGCAGCTTGCATGCCTTGCGTAAGAGAGGCTTCATTGTTCATGCTTCATCGAGCATTAAGCATGCATGACTCGCGCAAGGCTCAAATGCTGTGAGTTGTTGCCCTGCGAGGCACCTTTTTCAGCAGAAGGGACCTTCCTTGCCAGGTTCCTCAGACGCGAAAAGCGTTTGATACCGAAGTTTGTACACCTTTTTCAGGCGCACGAGCGTCGCTCAGAGCCCCAGAGGTCGAACGACCTCCAAGGCTTTTTGCCGCGCCCCCAGCAATTGCTTTCCACATTAAGAAAAGCTGCGGAGGTTCTCAGGCCTCGCTCGCTGGTCGAATCCCAACATGGACCTGGTAAACCGCCTGTCAGGCGTTTGTATTGCAATTCTAGCAGTGCTGTGCTCTTTGCTTGCTCAACAATTGGTAACCAAATATTTAGAGATATTAAGATGGTTCAATTTTGTCTAAAAGACAGGCACAAAGAGCCTGTAGAATGCCACAGAACCTAGAGGATTCATTTTCGTTTTTTTGTGCGCTGCTTCTCAGGGCATGATGCAATCCAATCCAACTCTCTGCAGAAAATACGTCTCATTCAGCAATTTTGCCGCAATGGGGTTTCAGTACGTACGAGCCTGGAATTAGAAAACACAAGTTGCTTCAACAACTACGCACCACGAACAAGCACTTTCCGGCAGCCCTGGACAGGCGCCAAAAAGAGTCGGATGCTTGGGATTCTAAGATATTGGCACTGGAGCAAAACATGTGGAGAGGAGGAGTAGCTGACAAAATCATGTTAGTCGATTGGTTCGGGGAGCACGAGCACTGGCACCTTGAAAACCTCAATGTTCAACACTAAACACCGACACTAGGGTCTCCGATGTTATTTCAGGTTGACCAAATAAGTACCAGTGTCTAAACAAGCCACGTTTTTGGTGTGTGGCAACTTGGGGTCTGTGGGTCCGATTTGCCACACTTTCGGCGCGCCTACGGGAGGCGGACGACTTGAAGCTGGAGACGGTGCGGAAGCGCGGGATCGTTTGCAACCCGCGTTTTTGGGCCTTGGGGTTGAAACCGTGAGCCCTTAGTTTCCTTTTCCACCTTGGTTTTCAATACTCTTGAATGGGTGAATCCGAAAACCTGGATTCGACTCCAAGTTGGGCGGCAAGTGGATTCCTCGAGATCGCGGTGTTCGCGACGCTTTGCCCTCGAAGAGCTTAGGTGACGTCGCTGGGTGAGCCTCGGCCTCGGAGTTGGCTGGCCCAAACTGGGCACCGTCACGGTGAGATTCGGTGTCCGATGGATTTTCGGGCGCCCTCAATTTTAGAACATTTATTGCCAGGTAGTTAAAACCGCGGAAAAAAACAAGGTTTTGTTTGCTCACTTCAAAAAACATAGAAGAAACAGGAAAAGAAAAAACAACAAGGTTTTTGCTTGGTCACTTCTTGTAGAAGCCCCCAGCGGAAAGTGACGAAGCAGTCCTGGGGATTCCGCATTTCGGTATTGCTGCAAGAGGTATCTGCCACCATGCACAGTTTGTTTGTTTGTTTGTTTGTTTGTTTGTTTGTTTGTTTGTTTCTTTGTTTCTTTGTGTTGTTTGTTTCTTTATTTTTATTTTACCAATTGTGTAACATTTTTTTTTTTAAATGTACATTTGTGTTCAATGTTTTGGCGGGGCAGATGCGAAGGGTTAACTTCAGTGTAAGTTTATTTGTGTTGATTGCGTCAGCCATTTTGGGGCCTCCCTTTGCCCCATTTCTCCCTTCTGAAAAATACATACGAGAATCAGTTTGATGTTATTCCCCTCTTTGGTCAGGGAGACTTCCAGCCATTTGCTGGCCCCTTTTTCTGATGGTTGCAGCCGTCCATGGCTTCAAGAACTTTCTTCCCAGAATACCGGTGTTTGGGGTTAAAGAAAACCAAAAGGGAAGCCACCATCTGTTTTGTGGAGGTCCCCTATTTTGCCAAATACCAATTCAATTTCTTGCAACAGAATGCTCGAAAGTTTGCAGAGCTGCACGCCTCTTGAGGCTTTGGGAGCAGTACACCTTCTGCACTCGCGAGATCGTGCAGGAGGCCAAACGCAGCTTGCGCCTTTCAATGCTGCTGCCCCTTTGGGTGGTGTCAAAAACTGTCGGGCAGCCAACCATTTTGGAGAGTCACGCTTTTTTTTGCGAGTCACACCTTTTACGAGACACCCACTAGCTTTGTTGGTCACCGGCAGAGCGTCCTTTTCCCATTTCAATGTCGTCCCCCCCTTTTCTCCTGGTGCTAAAAGGTTTGCAACAGAAACAAAGATGGTCAAGCCCAGACTGGGTTTCATTCTTTTTCTACCAGGGTCACTGGAAACCCTTCCTGGGTCTTACCATGTTTCCATGAGGCTTCCCCTAGAGAATGGGTTTGTGTGAATTTAGTGAAACTACCATTTCCGGCTTGGTTTAGAGGGAAGCATGAAGGAAACCCTCATCCTTTGTTGGGCTAGTCGACAACCGAAACACATGCCAGTGGCAAAACCTAAGCTGCGGCTTGCAAAATCACAGTCGCTTCATTTTACTGAATGCGGCTCCCCGCAATCAACCTATTGTGCGGTGGGCGGAACAATATCTAGTAGGGTGCATTTGTGTATGTGACAAAGTAGTGAGCAAAAGTAGTGAGCTGAGTTTGAACCCGAAGGCTCCTCGGGGTCAGACTTGGCCACATTTGTTCAGGGATCTCTCAATGGGAATCCGCAAGCCAACATGTTCAGAAACAGTCAGGCTGCCAGAGTCATGCGGGTTTGCTTCCAAACGGCTCCTCAAACTTTGATTTCCTTTGCCGTGCAGGTCCCGTCGATGGTAGTGGAGCGCAACTTTCTGGCCACATGGCAACAGACTTGGTGACTTTCCGGGGGCATCGAAACTACCACATGAGTTCTTGGACTTTGCTTGTTGGGTTTGGACCATTTTGGCAGCAAATAAAAGCTTTGGAGTTGTTGTTATTGCGGATCCACTCAGGAAGTGAGTTGCCCTCCAAACTTTACGCTAATTGCATGTTGCACTTCACTTTCCCTAGGGGACAACCAGGGTCCATTGAAGCGACACCCGCAAGAATACTGTGTATATGTATATAAAGTGGTTGTTTACAGGGACACCTCCCCCAAAAGTACGTTTGAGAATCAACTGTTGACCTTAATTAAGGGACCCAGTCCACATATGCTCCCACTTGGGTCCCCTGTTGACACCAGCCCCTGTTGCAATGGTCTTGGATGGCTGTCCAACATGCACTGGTTACCGGTGGCTGACCCGGTGAACAAAGCAAGTTCTGGCACGAGTTGGAGGTCTGTACTTTGGAATCCTGCGGCATCTAAACCAGAGATCCTGGAAATCCTTTGTAGCTCAAACCTGATCAGCTTTGTCGCAAAGCTGTCCAGTCTGTGTGCTCCCTTATTATATAGAGCAAGCAAGACAAAGCGAAGACGAGAAGCTGAGATATCCTTTAAAGTCACTTGCGTATTCAG